ATTATAATCAATCTAACCAAAATTAAAAATAGTTATGAACTAAAGAGAAACAAATAAATTAACCAAATATATAATATAAAAATATTTGAATTAGAACATAAATAAAACATTATATTTGTTTTCAAAGCAAAAACATATTTTTATCTAACTTTTTCAATCAACATTCAAATATTTCATATTTTCATATAAAAAATATAAGCTTTTATTACTTTAAAAATACATACTTTCTAGTCAATAATTTATTAACTTATCTAAAAGTATTAAATTTAAATAATTGATTAAATAATTTTTAATTTTTGATAGATTTTGATTTGAATTTAAATAATTATCTAAAAATATTAAATTTAAATAATTTATTAAATAGAATTATTTGACAAAAAATAAAATTTTATTAAGTATATGTATTTGGAATTGCCATTAAATTTAAAAAGAAAAGATAAATTATGAGTTAATATATTTGAATTCAAATCTTATGCAAAATTTTTAATTTTAGGTAGATATTGATTTCAATTTAAATAATTATCCAAAATATTTAATTTAAATAATTTATTAAAAAATTTTATTTGATAAATAAAATAATATAAATATTATCTCATGTGTCATTAAAAGAAATTATCCACCTAGACATTCACATAAGTAATTTTGATTATATAACCTTGTATGTTGTAATATATATATATATATATATATTAGATTTAAAATTTTAATTTATATTAATTTTTGTATTATATATAGATAAATAAAAATAACCATATTCATATATAAGTTGTAGTTTAAAATTAAAAAAAATTGTCTATATATAAATTATTATGAAAAAATGTAAATAAGCATTTTAAAAGTTTTAAATTATGAAAGTAAAATTATATACAAATATCAATGAGAAAGTTAATCTCTTATCCACAATTATATAAATTTTTAAAAGAACATATTATTTTAGTATAAAAATTAAGATTTATACATGTGATATATCACGAAAGACTTTTTCATATCTAATTTTGAAACTTTATCTTATCAAACTTTTATGATGAAAAGAAGAAAATATTGATTGTGAGAAAAAAAAATCATAAATATATATTTAATACTAATTTAAATTAAAAAATCTAAATTTTTAAAAATTTAGTTTATCTAAATTTAATTTTAAATTAAGATAAAAGAAGTTAGTATAATTTTAAATTTAGATGTGTGTAATTTTAAATTAAAATAAAATATTTTTCTTTTTTATTTTAAATTATAAAAAAATAAAGATAAAAATTTGGTAAATAACAGTGGTTCAACCATAAATTTTATTTATTTAAATTTATATGAATATTAATTTAGAGGGTGTATAATTTTTTATGATTCCTAAGATTTAGGAATTTAACCTTTAAAAACTATTTGAATTGGATAAAAGTGAAATATGAAAAGATATATTTTATTAGATATAAATTAAGATAAATCTTATACATTTTGAAAGATTTTGATAAATGTAAATTTTGAAACTTTAAAATTTTAAAAAATTAAATAATTGATTTAATAAAGTTATTGAAAAATATCTTATATGTCAATAATATAGATTGTTCACCTAAGCATCCACGTAAGTAAATTTTATTAAGTTTTTATATATGTTGTAATATAATATTATATATGATTTCAATTTCAATTTTTTTAATTTTATTTTCATCTTTTAAGTTCAGTTCTTAATAATCATTTTTTATTCTCATCTCAGTGCCATTTTTATTTTTGTATCTAAGCATATATCTTATTATTGATTTTAGTTTTATCATTACAATAATCAAACTTACTTCCACTATTATTTTTAATTTTATTGAAATCAATCTCATAGTATATCAAAATGGACTCTAAAAAAAAGATAACATATTTAGTTGATTTAAGATTTAAAATTTTACATTTAAATTTTTTTCCTCAACTTATAATTTTTTTATAAAAAATATATATTATGTGTATAACGAAATAAAAAAAACACAGGCAATCAAAAACTGCTTATCAATAAATAAATGAATTAAGACCAATTTTAACTTTAAGAGAAATTATCACATAAATTAACAGTAAAAATTTTAGATTTCACAAATAAAGTTATCAAAGTGATTCATATTATTTATATAAAAAAATTTTAAATTTTAATTAAAAAATAATTAAGATATATTATTACCATATTTGATGGGATACTGCTTAGTTGGACTCTATGCCATTCACGATGAGTTCATCAACAGTAATTAATAATGGCAAAAAAATTATATTTTAATCACACAGATTGCTTCCTGCGGCGCCACTCTTTCTATATATAAAGGACATTCAGCGTGGAGTACCAATTCACACATAACCAATTTTAATTACTGTAGTAGGAGAGAAATGGAGTGCAAGAAGTTTGGTTTTGTTTTCAATGCAATGCCAATGGCAATGGTACTTTTAGCCACGGTTACTCCAATTGCATTCGCTGCTCGTAACGAGGTTCTGCCCTTCCCTCTCAGCACCAATGCCATGGCTAACATTAGGAACCCTTTGGCCAACATTTTCTTGGTTGGCAACCCTGCTGAAAACTGCCTCCCAATTGCGGATGCCTTTACCCTATCGGGATCTGCGTCGGGTCGAGCTGCTAAAGGATCTGTAATTCTACTTCGAAGATGGGACTATCAACCTTTTTTAGCTGAATAAATGTTTGCTTGTGTGGCTGTTTGATTTTGCTGTTGCAAAAACATGCACTTTTACGTTTTTGCTTTTGTTCTTGTAAGACTTGTTGCTTTTGTTAATGGTGGTGTGTACTGTTGCTGTTTTAATAAAAATAAATTACCACAAACGTATAACAAGTCTATTGTTGGCTTATAAAATTTAAGTGATTTCAATTCATAATACAAATACATGCAAATATGATTGGACTATACAACTATTGTAATGGTTTTGAATCCATTCGATAAATTCGAAAACGAAAAGGAAAAAAATTAAAAAAAAAATGGAGAAACCAAGATAAAAAAAATTGGTCAGATCCAAAAAAAATCTGTCAAAAAAACTCAAGAATATCAAAATAAAAAAAATTAAAAAAAAACACATACATGAAAAAACTTAACTCCTGATAACAAGGATCTCAATGTCAAAAAATAAACACAAAAGAAAAATCATTTTTGGGTGAAACTTTGGGCCTTGATCTATGCCTTTCGAGATCGTTTCCCGCAAAATGGAGGCTGGATTTAGATTTAAGGGGTCGAAAATAATTTTTTAGATTTTTTTGAGATTTTTTTGATCATCGACGATTGTGACCGGCGATCGATGACGCCGACGATTGATCACGGTGGTTAGCATGGCGGTGACCACCTGACTTTTGGGTTTTAGGTTTTTCAGCGAATGATGGATTTTCTAGAGAGAGAAGCTCTCTTTCTTAGAAAGAGAGAATCCAAAAAAAAATGATTGAAATTTTTTTTTTAAGCCTTTTATAAAAATTGTCAAAAATCAAAATGACGCCGTTTGGATAAGAACCAAAATGACGTCATTTTGATCGTTGAGAATCTACGTGTCAACACATGAACCGACTTAGGAATCTCACAACCGACCCACAACCTGTTTCCCTTTGACCATTGACTAATATAGTTGAACTGTTGATTGGTCAGACCATACTAGATTGCTGTTGATTGGCCCATCCAGACCGACATTGATCAAACCATTGACTAGTCTGGTTCAGATAAAAAAATATTTTTTTAAGATTTTTTAAATTATTTTTAAAATTTTTTTAATATATTAAATTTTATTATTGGTATTTATGCATGTTAAAATATTTAAATTTACTAGAATAAATTTTTGTTGCTTTAATAATAATTAATAAAAACAAAATAAATAAATAATGAAATACATAATTAAAATTTTTGATAATTTTAGTAAAATTTGGAATAAACTTTATAAAGTAATGATAAAAATAATAATTAATAATTAATGACTATGATAAAAAAAAAATGACTCTTAACCTTTGATAAATTTCTAAAAAAAATAAAATAAAATATCTCTTTATGAATGTAACTGTGATTTTGGCCATTTAAATTGCTCTTGAGACTCTTGCTATGATTGGAATGGATGGATCAGACTCATTTTATGCTTGGCTGATGTCAGATTTCAATTCAATTACTTTCTTATGTTCTGGTGTAATTGGCTTTGTTTTTCTAGAGCTAGCTGATGTCTTCTTTGGGCCCTGTTACTTAAGGTGATAATAGTTCGGATGAAATTTGGTTTTTTATTTTATTTTATTTTATTTTTCAGATAATGTATATATATAATTATGAATTTGAATTGAATTTTCATACGATTCGATCTGATTTAAATTGAATTTTATATATTAGTGTAATTCAGTTTGATTCATCAATTTTTAAATTTTTTATATATTATTTTAATATAATTTTAATATATTTAAATAGATTTAGATATAAAATAATTATTTTTATTTTATAAAAATTTAAAACATATATAAAAACTAATAAAAATATATAATTTAGTTTCCTTTTTTTTTTTTGATTTTTTACTTCTTGATTCAAAATTTGATCCGAACTTAATATATATTTAATATGCAAACTTAATTCGAATTAAATAAAAATTTTTTTTATTCAAACAAAACCAAACACTATAATTTCGAATTGGTTTTCCATTTTTTTAATTTTTTTCTCACCTCTACTTTTACGTCAAGGATGAACTTTTGTATTGACTCTTTACTATAAGTGAAATTTCATTATTGGCTGAGAAAAAAGAAAGTAATGTATTTTTATTAATATAATTACATGACATGATTTGAATAGAAATGACATATATTGATATAAAATAATTATTTTATACAATCCTTTTTTTTATGATACATCGAATATAAACCTTTAAACAAACAAAGATTACTCAAAAAGTTTTATTGCTGAAGATGGAATTTCTTGTAATGAGAATTGTGTTCTTGAAAATCTAAATTGCCGAATATTGAAGCATTACCAACAAATAAACTTTGATGAAGTCACAAGTGACAATCTCACAGCTAATCATATTTAGAGCCTCTTTACCAAGAGATTCAGTCCATGTTGAGGCTGTACAACCATATTAAGAACGGGAGAATGTCTATATTTTGGAGAGATAGAGAAAGTGAAATTTGATACTATAAGACTAAGGAGTATCTTAAGCTCTGCTATGGCAAAGTATTGTCCCAAACATGTATGTGGTCCAATACCAAAGGGAATGTAGACATGAGGATGCTTACATGCACCACTGATCCCATTTGCAAACCTTTCGGGGTTGAACTTGCCAGCATCATGTCCCCAAAATTGGGGTGATGGTGAAGTATCGTTATCAATATCAAAACATTGACTCCTTTCGGCACGATAATATCACCAAGTTTAATTTCGTTGAATGCCTCTCTGAAGACGGCCGAGACAGGAGGGTAAAGGCGTAGTGTCTCATTGATCACCATTGTTAACTGTCATAAGTTTTCAAGTAATTTAGAGAATAAAATTTTGATAATGTTGAAGTTTCCAACATTCATAAATCCACAATGGTTATAGCTTACTGTTTTCATCTTTGGAAGCATATCTGCATCTGGCAATTCACCTTTACAAACTTCAACAATCTCCGCACGAACTCTGTTTAGCCACTCTGGATTTAAGGCCAACAGCATCAATGTCCATGTTGCTGTCATCGCAATACTCTCGAATCCTGCCAAGCATAAATTCTTGCAGTTGTCTACAATAAAGCGATCTGTTGAGTACTCATCTTTACCTAATTCATTGCCTTTAGCACCTTCCAAAATCCTTTGTAAAATGCCCTTTTCATCAGGCGTTTCTCTCTTTCTTTTCTCTACTATTTTCAAAATTAATGTTTGAATCTCTTTCGCTAACTTCCAACCTTCCCTGTTGCTTTTAGTTGGGAGAAGATATCTGAAAGATTCAACTAAATCAATTATTTCTATTGACTTTTCGAGACAATTATACCAGGAACTGGAACAAAGGGAAAAATTGGATAAATGTGAACCTTATTTTGGGAATTCCATTTAAAAAGATGTTCTTAGACAAGGTTTCTTCGAGGGCTGTAATCTTTGAGAAAATCTCTATTCCTTCATAATAATTGCTTCCAAAACATGCTCCTGAGATGACATCTGCAGAGAAGCTTCTCATATAACCATCAACCTGTATGTCTGAGATTCCACCTTCACTTTCGATCTTACTAATCCATGTGTTTACCAGTGTAAGGGCAGAATCCACCATTAGTTTCATCATTCCCTGGATACCATCATCTTAGTGAAGGACTAATATTTATTGCATTTATATTTCTTTTCTTTAGTATTAATAACAACCAGATAGGAGAGTAGCTAGACGAGGTTAATCATGCGTATAAATTTTCATTATTTGCTGAAGCATTACCTTAACGTTGTCCAAGTAAAATTGAGGAGCAATGATTTTTCTTTGATGTGCCCATATTTGACCAGTTGAATTTACAATGCCTTGGCCAAGCAGAGGATCAAGCCATATATGTTGAAGGGAAGACCTTTCTAAGTCGAATGAAGTACGTATGCTTATTTCCTTCACCACATCAGGGTTGTTTGTGAGCAAAATCTGCATGTTGGCAACTGAAAAATTAAATGTTGAACCTGCAAAAAATCCAACAATATATCAGACCCTGTAAACATTTTTTTGGCAGACTCACTAAATTTTACGAAATTCGTACCATATTGTTCTCTCCATTGATTGTAGAATGGAAACAGAGCAGAAGAATAATTGTGGTTTATCTCTCGTTCTCCATCGTCAACCAATTTCATCGACCTCTTACGATTTATTTTCATTAATTCAGAAATATTTCCGAGCAAGAAGGATGGCGGAGGACCGTTGATTCCTTGCTTTTGAAACTTGGACCCAATCCTTTGTGGCTTCAATATCAGAGAATTAAACAGGCGTGCCAGCAAGCTAATGCTTACAAGCAGTAAAGTGCTAAGCAAGATCCTTTTGTGTAGATTTTATGAGTTTATTTAATAATAATGATAGTTTATATTTTGACTAAATATTTGATATATTATTAGTATAATTTTTTTAATTACAAACGAAATTAAATAGTTAATACGTGTTTTATTTTTTAATTAATTTTTTATTTTTATAAAATATACTTTAAAGGATAAAATGTCACCTTATTAATCTTAATTATGTAATCTAAACTGTATTAACAATTAAAGAAGTAATTTCTTTTATTGTGGAGATAAGACTTGAGTTTTCTTTTTAAAGATTTTATTTACTTATATATTAAAGTCATATTTGATACATAAGATGATAGATAAGATATGATGATAGTCATCTTACATTATATTTGGTTTGTTTCTAAAGAAAGGGATAGGATTATAAAGAGTATTAATCATCCTCTTGACGTAAGATAATTCAATACTTCTAAAGTGAAAAGAATTATTTTTAATCCATACAATTAAATATATCTTATTATACTTTTAAAAATTACCTCAATAACTTAAATTATATAAATTTTGAGGAAGAATAATTTTGATTAATAAATAAATTATCCTATCTTAATTTTTGCATACGTCATATACAAGATAGTATAATATTATTTAATTTAATGCTAATTATAATATCATATTATGTTATCCTATCAAAATCTTACATACCAAATATACCCTAAATGCTCTAGTTAGGTTTGGCTATGAATGCCATAATGAGACGGAAGTATGCCCATTTATGAGATGGATGACACTTATGGTTGTATGATATAACACTGTATGGACCAAAAAACAAAAAACTTGTTCACTATCTGAACACATGAATCCTCACTGACCTCTACCCATATGTTTCATAATTGTAACAAAACTTTATGGCCGTTTTAGGCTTAGAAAAAAAAAAAGGCATGATCTAACAATAACTAGGCAAAAGATCATAAATGATATTGAAAAATGAATTTAAAAGTACAAGAATTTGAATTTTAAGTAGTTTAAATTAAATGGAATGATTAAAAACTCTAATATTTATAGGTAGGCTTGCCAATTTAGTTGGCAAAGTTAAAATCATAAGAGTTTGAAAAAAAAGTTCAAATAGTATTCACTCACTTGGAGCCTTGTCTCGATGGCAAAAAGGATATCCTGAAATTTTTAGTTCTCAGTTCAAGTCTCAAATTTTAGTCCAATTTTATGTCAATTTGTTTGTTTGATTTCTTCCATGAATGTACTATTTAATTTTGACTTTAATTCCTACTTATAATATGTTATCTCATTCTGTAATCTCATCAATATATATATATATATATATATATATATATAAAGCTAATTTCCTTGTGCTTTGAAAAGAGAAAAAAATTGAATTTATTTTTTTTCCAATACGCATGCTCATCTAACAATTAAATTAATTTTTCATAATTATATTTTAAATGAAATTCCAAGTATAAGGGTCAAATACTCAATGAAATTATATATCTAGTATTAATTAATGAGAAATTATTTCATCCACTGTGTTTTTGAGCTTTATAAGTGAAATTAATAACATGACACTTATCTCTTATGGTGTATTTAAAAAATAAAAAACTAATTAAAAAAGAAAACATGTGCCAATCTCTTAATTTTATTTGTAAAATTAAAAATTTATACTGATAATGTATTAAAAAAGCATATCACTTATAACTTTTTTACTATAATATTATAATTATTTAATTATAATAAAAAATTATGTACGGTTCCATCATTTATAAGTTTAAATCTCACATAAAATTTTGGTGAATCTTACATAATTCTAAATTATAATTGATTAATTATATTACAATTGATTGTAAAAAAAAAAAAAATACTCTCATGTATCAAATATTAACTATTAAACTCGGTAGCTGTTTTGAAAAAGAAATTTGGCACAAAAGTGTCAAAAATAACCCTAAGATAGGGGTATCCAAAATTTATACTAATGGGTTTTAAAAGTGAGGTCCCTAAAATTAGCAATAAAGACGAAAATTTGAACTTGTAATTAATTGGATGGTTGCCATAATAATATACTAGGGGTAGGCCGGCGCTTTGCAACGAGATTTTCTTTTTATATAAAATTATTAAAATACAAAAGAATTAATATATAGAAAGAAATTAATATATCATTAATAAGTAATGTAAACAATTAAGCATCGTGTTAGAAAGGGTTAGATATGAATAATTAGTTATTGAAATTTTGGTGTGAAAGTTGGTGTGATGGGATATGATAATATTGGGCTTCTTTATTATAGTTTTTAACATTATGAGTTTGAAATTATATTAATAACTTTTAAATTATTTTTAATATCAAAGTTGATTTGGCTTTAAATTTGAAATAGGGATAGCTTTAATTCTATGTATAGATATAAAGATTAGCATAAGAGATTTAACTAAATTATAGAAATAAAATAAATAATAATAAAAGATATGTTTCATATATATATATATATATATTGTGTGTTTGTATAAATTGTAGGATTATCATTTTAAATGGTTGAAAGAAAATGACTTTTTTCAAGAAAAGAGAAAAGATTTTGTCTTAAATTATTTATAGAAAAGTAATTACATGGTGCAAGGTGCAAAAGAAAATGTTATTTCAAATAGTAGTATCTTAGCGGTATACAATGAATTGTTGTTGCTGTATATGTACTTTTTTAATATTTATTTGTCCCATGTATTATACATTCTTTGTTAGTTTGATATCTGAAAAAATAAAATTATAAGTTTGGTATTTTAATTTTTATTTCGTCATTCATTTTGTCATTTTAGACTAATATTATCAGCCAACTTTCTGATGTAGTATGAACTTCTAATAAAATGTTTAAATGTGTCAAAAAGTCTAGTCAGTGCTATATTATCAAATTTTACGTTAGTATTAAAAGATAATTTTTAAAAAATTCAATAACAAATTTTCAAAAGATTTACAAAAAATTTAAACAATTTGAAATATTTAAAAAAATTATAAAAAATTATGAAAATTTCAAAAATTTCAAAGAACTTAAAAAATCTAATAAAAATCCAAAAAATAAGAAGATTTCAAAAAATGAAAATTTTAATAAAAATAAAATTTTCTTAAAACTATAAAAATTTAAAATTAAAAATATCTAAATATTTTGAAAAATTTAAAACTTTACAAAAATTTTGAAAATTTTAAAAAAATTCTAAAATGTTAAAAATTTTCAAAAAATCTGAAACATTTTCAAAATTATGAGAAAAATTTTTAATAAATGTTTAAATCTTTTTAAAAAATAATAAAAGTAAATTTTTTTTTCAATTTGTAATTAATTTTTAATTTTTTATATACTTTCAAAAATTTTCAAAATTTTTTAATTTTTTAATTTTTAGAATTATTTAAAAATTTTCAAAAAAATTTCATTTTTTAAAAAATAGATTATTTTAATTTTTAGATTATTTAATTAATTTATTAAAATTTTGACTTTTGACTTTTTAATTTTTAATTTTTTTCATTATTTAAAAATTTCAAAAATTTTAACTTGTTATAATTTTTCAGATTTTTAGATTTTTTTAAATTGTTGTTGAATTTTTAAAATTTTTTAATGTTGTTGTGAAAATTGATGATGTAATATTAATTGGACTATTAACATATTTCAGTATCTTATTGGATATTCATGCTATATCAGTAAACTAGTTAATTGACAGTATTAATCTGAGATATCAAAGTGGATGACGGAATAAAAGTTAAAGAACTCGACAAATTTTTTTTTAAAGTAACAAATTGACAAAAATGTATAACACAAAGGTCAAATGTGTATTTATCCTTTTTATTAGCAAGGGGAGATTCGAATCTAATATATTTTTGAATAGTGATATTTTTTAATAGAGACTTTTATTTGCAGCTTTGTTTTTTCTCCTCACCCTTTTATTTTTCAAAATTATCTCTAAGTGAAATTACTTAATTATCTTTTCTTAAAAAAGTTTTAAAAAGCTCTCAAATATACGAATTCAAAAACTTTTAAAAACTTTTCAGATTCGTAAATTCAAAAGCTTTCATAAGTCTTAAGATGTGTAAATCCAAAAGCTTTTAAAAGTTTTTGAATTCACATATTCATAAGCTTTTAAGAATTTTAGGAACATCAATCATTTTCCTACCCTCATATCATTTAAATCAAGAAAAAAATCCAAAGACTCACGTAGTAATCAAATGCTCTTTTTATTAAAGCTATAAATTTTGTCTATCAATTTGTAAATGGATTTATAATTATTTGAAAAAAGTGAGCTTTTTTTCCCAATATTATGAAATTCTTTAAGGTATGAGATCTTTTTTCCTTAACTGAATTTATGGATTTAGTAGTTAGGGTTTTTTAAAAGACTGGTTAAATAACTTATCACATATGTACATCTGGTAAATTATATTGGATTTTCATATCTAGTATGTTATATAATTTACTGTATTTTCATGCCATAACTTAACGAATATGGATATCTAAAAACTTCTAAAAATGGGAAAGATAATTAAATAATTTTATTTAGATATAATTTTGAAAAAAAATGGGGAAAGCAAAAACCTCCGTGCAAAGAGAAGCTCTTTTTTTAACATATATATATATATATATATATATCTGTGTGTGTGTGTGTTTTTACTATTGAACTAATTAAGTGCATACATAGCTATAAAAAGAATGGAAAAATATATTTACCTCTTTGAGGTTTGATGGAAAATATACTTAACCCCTCTTTAGTTTGAAAAACATTATCTTACTCCACTAAGATTTAGTTCAATATACATTTAACTTTCTTTTTTTTAGTAGAAAGTGAAAAATAAATGTCGTAACGTCTAGATCCGGGGATCTATCGCTAGACATTGACTTTTGGGAGTCGCCACCAATCTTTTTTATCTAGGTGCGATTGGCCACCTAAAGAATCTGTCCTTCCAGGGAACACCTAAGTTTAAGGGTCCCTAGAAGAATAGGTTCAGGTCTGCTAACCAGAACAGGGTTCGGGAGTTCGGTTACGTGTGAGGAAGGTTATAGCACCCTC